CCCCCCCCCCCCCCCCCCACAGTGTTTCCTTTTGTTTTCTAAGATGGCATCGCATAGCATACTACACTGGCATCTTGCTTTTCTAGCACACCTTGGAAACCCGAAGTCCTGTCCGGGTTTACTCTACGAATGGCTGAATATTGATGCACGGCGTGAAGACGCCTCAGCTCATCTAATGATTATGTTGTTCATGTCCTTTTCTTTGTTTACTGTGTTTACCACCATAAACGTGGCTGCCTGGAATATTCAGCCCCCGACGCCGGAACAATTCCCATTTACACCAGTAAGGTCTGAGAACTCGTTCTTTTCAGGCCCACGAGCATTCTGCAGAGCATTTTGCAGGTCCGACGAGTGTAAATATCACTACATCAACGCCTGCTTTCGGCCGAGATGGAATCCTGGCAGCGCCCTCTCCATTTTCCTCGCCGCCTCCTCACCATTTTCCACCCGCCACCACAGAAGGCCCTTTCTCCTCCGTTGTTGCAAGAGCTTCCTCTGGGCCCTGAGCCTCTCTCCTCCCACTCCGGGCCTTGTTCCACCTAACCCCTCCCCCTCACATTTTCAGTTTCATCTTCTGAAGGTGCTTTAAGGAGAACTTGCCACTCCTTTCTGTTATTGCCCTATTTCTTTCCTAACATTTACTACACAACTTGAAAGACTTTTTCGAATTAGTTTGCTATTCAATATTATGTGCCCATGGTTCATAATCTAAAAGTGTAATATAAAAAGGAGAGACAGCTGACCCTTGCCTACGAACCACCTATTTTACTCCTACCCTCCAGGCCACGAGTGACATCACTTGTGTATTTTCCCAAAATATATATATTTTGCATATATATATGTGTATGTATATATATATATATATATATATATATATATATATATATATATGAGATAGATATTTCACAAACAGCAGAAGCATGGGTGCAGATGCTCTGCAATGGCGCACAACTTCTTGGAAGTCTACCTGCTCTCTCTGGCTCCTCACCAACTTCTTACCACTCCTGCCCTTCTGCCCTCTCACACCACTGAAGCTGCTTTCTCGCAGGAGCTGAAAACCTATGTCTAGTCCCTTCTTCTGTGTTGCCTCCTGTATTTGATCAGGTACCAGCGCTACTGGTGCAACCTTTGCAATATTTACTTCTCCAGTCCCACCTCTTTGTTCCTCTGACTCCACCTTCTTTGGGCTTCATTTGTCACCTTGCCAAGCCACTGCAGTAGCCTTCTGATCTGATGTTGATCTCTCATCTTCCCACTGGTTATTGATCCCATACTCCACAGCAAATATTAGTCCAAGGAAATGGACCCTTAGTTTCAGGAGGTTTATAAAGTTTATTGTATGCAAGGAACACTGGTCCTGGTGACCAGAGGCCAGGGTAAAATCAGGACCCTGCCCTTTCTTGCTTGGTACCTCCTTCAGCGGATTGCTCTAAGTCTCTGTTTCCTTACAGATGATCTCCAAGGCCTTGTGGCTCTAGCCTCTGTGAGGCTACAATTCCATTCTTCCCGCATCTCTTACTCCCTGTGCTGGCCTTTTCTCAACCAGCCACACTTTCCTTTCCCTTTCACTGTGCCTCTGGAAAGCCCTCCTTATTCTGAATATACAGATCCTACTTATCCTTGAAGACCTGACTTTTAGTCATTGTTTTTCTTGAAAAACTTTCAGCAGTGGTCCCCAATGAGAAGAAACACTTTGTCCTTACAAGCTGTAGCAATTTATTTGTATTCCACTGATGGCACTGACCACTCTAACTTGTAGAGTTGTTCCGTACCTCTCCTTCTGCCACCATCCACCTCTCTCCCATGACTTCTAGCATGTGACTTTGTACATGGTGGAGGATACGGTTTTGGGAGTCCCAGACCTATGCCCAAGTCCCAGCTCTGACACCAGATAACTTCTCATGCGTTACCTTGGGTGGGCCCTGGTGGCTCAGTCCATTGAGCATCCGACTCTTGTTTTCAGCTTAGGTCATGATCCCAGGGTCGTGGAATCGAGCCCTGAGTCGAGCTCCCTGCTGAAGGTGGAGCCTGCTTGGAATTCTCTCTCTCTCTCTCTCTCTGCCTCTCTCCACTGCTCATGTGTCCGTGCTCTCTCTCAAATAAAAAAAAAAGTTTAAGTAATTGTGTCATGTTGAACATGTCATATACCTTCTTTAAGCCTCAATTTACCCAAATGTAAAATGGGGATAATAACCTATTTTATAGTTGTGTTTAGATTAGATAATGTATGAGAATGTGTTTTGTGAACTGTAAGGCTATCTACAAGTGTAGATAATAATAATAAAGATAAATATCATTCAGATGCTGGCAACAGTGATTGCCTTTCCAAAGCAGAATAAAAAAAGAAGGTGGGGAAAACTGTGGAAAATGAGATTTTCCTCTTAGTTGAAGTCTCAAAATATGGGGATTGCATTCTAATTATTCCTTTTAGATCATTTACCAGGTGGCATTACATATAGTAGTACAAGCTAAAAATAATCTAAATTTTGAACAATGGAGAATGATTAAATTATGGTTAATGAGAATAATGTGTGGTCATCAAAATTATATTTTTGAGCAAAATATAATTAGTCATGACATAAAAGATTAAAAATGTGTTAGTGTTCATTTATTTTTGAGAGAGAGAGAGCGCAAGTGGGGGAGGGGCAGAGAGAGGGAGACACAACACAGAATCTGAAGCAGGCTCCAGGCTCTGAGCTGTCTGCACAGAGCCATACTCAGGGTTCGAATTCACAAACCATAAGATCAATACCTGAGCCGAAGTTGGACACTTAAACGACTGAGCCATCCAGATGCCCCATAAAAAGTGTTTTGTTTTTTTAATTTTTAAAGTAATCTCTATATGCAACGTGGGGCTTGAACTCACAACCTCAAGATCAAGAGTCACATGCTCTACTGAATGAGCCAGCCAAGCACTCCTATAACTTAAAAGATTTTTTTTATAAAAGCCAGATACTAAATAGTGTGTGGGCAGAGGATGTGTAAGAGGAGAAGAGGCTTTCTCCACCACTCTTCATAGCTTTTTATTAGGCCTCCAAACAGGGCACCTGGTGCCAGAGAACTTGGGACACATTCCAAGGCCTGACTCTTACACAAATAGCTCACTCCTTGCCTCCCAAGAATAAGGGATTCAGGACAAGGAACCAGGAAGCTAGTGCCTCAGGGGAGGCCACAGCATGTCCCAGTTCCAGGGACAGACTTTGGCCTGCTTGTGTCCCCATGACCTGATATTCCAGGGTTTTCTGCACCATTTTTCCCAACCGGACTGGGGACTTCAGACAAATAGAACCTCTAAGGGCCTGCTTTGACAGTTTCCAGAGTAGGTTCACAGGAAAGTCCTCCTCCAGCCAAAAAGAAGACTCCAAGCACAAACACTGAAGAACTAGGCTCCAAAAAGTGGGGCCATGAGCCATAGAAGTGGGCAGAAATGAGCCATCACAGACAGTTGGGGAAGCTCAAGGGACTCCAGAGAGAAGGTAGCATTTATTCTGACCATGGAAAGAAGGTAAGAAGTTGGCAAGTGGGGAAGCACCTGGATGGCTTAGTTAAGCTTCTGACTCTTGGTTTCAGCTCAGATCATGAGTTTGAGCCCTACATAGGGCTCTGTGTGACAGCGCAGAGCCTGCTTGGTATTCTATCTCCCTCTCTCTCTGCCCCTCACCTGCTCGCTCGCTCTCTTTCAAAAATAAACACTAAAAAAAATATTTTTAAAAAAAGATTTGCAAATGGGGAAATGATCATTAACATACAGCTGTATGGTCACCAAAAACCATAAAATACCTAGGAATAAATCTTACCAAAGAGGTGAAAAATCTACATGCTGAAAACTATAGAAAGCTTATGAAAAAAGTTGAAGAAGACATAAAAAAATAGAAAAAGATACCATGGTCCTGGATAGGAAGAACAAATATCATTAAAATGTCAATACTACCCAAAGCAATACACATATTCAATGCAACCCCTATCAAAATAACACCAGCATTCTTCACAGAGCTAGAACAAGCAATCCTAAAATGTGTACGGAGCCAGAAAAGACCCTGAGTAGCCAAAGCAATCTTGAAAAAGAAAACCAAAGCAGGAGGCATCACAATCCCAGACTTCAAGATGTATTACACAGCTCTAATCATGAAGACAGTATGGTACTGGCACAAAACAGACACTCAGATCAATGGAACAGAATAGAGAACCCAGACATGGACCCACAAACATATAGTCAACTAATCTTTGACAAAACAGGAAAGAATATCCAATGGAATAAAGACAGTCTCTTCAGCAAATGGTGTTGAGAAAATTGGATAGCGACATGCAGAAAAATGAACCTGGACCACTTTCTTAGACCATACACAAAAATAAACTCAAAATGGATGAAAGACCTAAATGTAAGACAAGAAGCCATCAAAATCCTCAAGGAGAAAACAGGCAAAAACTTCTTTGACCTTGGCTGCAGCAACTTCTTACTCAACACATCTCCAGAGGCAAGGGAAACAAAAGCAAAAATGAACTACCGGGACCTCATCAAAATAACAAAGTTTCTGCACAGAGAAGGAAACAATCAGCAAAACTAAAAGGCAACCAACGAAATGGGAGAAGATATTTGCAAACGACATATCAGATAAAGAGTATCCAAAATCTAGAAAGAACTTATCAAATTCAACACCCAAAAAACAAGTAATCCAGTGAAGGAATGGGGAAAGGACATGAATAGACACTTCTCCAAAGAAGACATCCATATGGCCAACTGATACATGAAAAAATGCTCAACATCACTTATCATCAGGGAAATACAAATCAAAACCACAATGAAATACCACCTCACACCTGTCAGAATGGCTAACATTAACAACTCTGGCAACAACGGATGTTGGCGAGGATGTGGAGAAAGAGGATCTCTTTTGCACTGCTGGTGGCAATGCAAACTGAAGCAGCCATTGTGGAAAACAGTATGTGGAATACTACTTGGCAATGAGAGAGAATGAAATATGGCCTTTTGTAGCAATGTGGATGGAACTGGAGAGTGTTATGCTAAGTGAAATAAGTCATACGGAGAAAGACAGATACCATATGTTTTCACTCTTATGTGGATCCTGACAAACTTAACAGAAGACCATGGGGGAGGGGAAGGAAAAAAAAAAGTTAGAGAGGGAGAGA